TCATGTTTAAAGTTTCACTAGAGGAAACTATCCATTTAACTGAACCAGCAAATTTCAAACATTAGATGCTCTACTCTTGTCTGCTATTAGCTTCCTGACCCCAAGATGCAACCAAAGCATTATGGAACCCAGTTCACTTAATTTAGCTGGTAAAATTCCAAACTGCATATTTGCTAATATTTGCCAGGTACAGTTCTATATGACCAGTATATTACCTAACTGGATCTGATTTTAAGAGACCTAAATGAATATTCTTTATTTACTCCTCCTGTCCATAAGACTATACTCCTAAGGTATCATTTGATTTGGGAATCAGGGGAAAGAGAAGTGGCAGAGGAGGGGGGATGAAGAAATGAGCTTATCTGTTAAAGCATGTCAAACATATTTGTTTTATATATTCATTAATATAATTAACATTTATTGGATATTTAGGTGAAATGAGCTACTTATTTCTCTGGAGGGCCTACATTTCCCAACAGAAAACCCCAATATAGATAAGAAACTGTGCATGTGCATCAAAGATATGTTCATAAAACTAATGTCACTACTCTCATCTATTTTCATTCATTCTGAAAATGTTTTTTTTCTCAAATTGAATGTATGAAGTGCTAATAATCACTACTATGCCTTTTCCTTGAGTGGACTATTAATACACCATTGAGCCCCTGTCTAATTGGCCTCAGCACTGAGTCTTCCTGACACTTCCTCTGAGGAACCTAAATGTCATAGTTTGAATGTCGACTGTTCCCCAAATGATCCTTTGAAGGTATTAGAACCCAGGGGGATAACTGAAGGGGGCATTTAAGAACATTTAAGTGTTGGGCTTCAGTGGGGTTCTTTGTGTGACTGTGGACATGCAGCTGAAGGAGACTGTGTGTCATTGCCCCCTCCTTGCTCTCTTTTCCTCCAGGCTCATGAAGATTTGGAATTTGGCTTCACGAAACCTCTCCTGCCAAGGCATGCTACCTAAGCACAGCCTCATAAGCGCCTGTTCAGGGACTATAGTCCCAAAATAACCATTTTTCCATGGTAAGTTAATTACCCCAGTTATTTGATGCAGTCATGAAAATCTGACTAATATTTTTTTCCCTAGTAAATCAGTGTAGGGAGAACCTTATCTCCTTCCATAGCTGATCACCTTGGGTAAATGATCAAATGTCACATTTCCCAGCATCCCCTGGATCATAATTGATCACCTCGACTGACCTTTAGCAAGAATCCCATTTCCCAATCTTTCCCAATCTTTCTTCCTTCTTTCAAGAAAACTAATCAAATGTTTTTCATTCTCCCCAGAGCCATTAACTCCACAGATGTGTGCAACACTTCTGTTCTTGCTGAAGCAACACTTAACTGTTCTTGTTCTTGAGAGTTCTCTCTCTCTCTCTCTCTCTCTCTCTCTCTCTCTCTCTC